CACAGCGGGAGTTAGCACCAGTGATGAGCAGGAGCGTCTCTTAAATCAAGCAGGACTCCACTACAGTGCTTTTTTCTGTCTCCCCAAGCACCTTTCTTGGGAGAAAATGCACCTCAACCATCAGCCCTGGGTGAAAGTTGATAACCGTACCCAGTGACAATGGAGATGTAAAACCCCTCAGCTGTGGGTAAAGGTAGATATGCATTTCCAGATTTAAGGGAGAAGTAAAACGGATTTGGTGAAGGCGTCAAGCTTTTTCTCAGGCTAGATGAATCAGGGGCTTATCGTTACATGGTTTGTGTGCTACACAAAATTCCACTGAGCCTCTAAAAAATTTGCATGCCTAAAGAAGTTATGCACGTGAACCTACAATGCAAGCAGACAACTGAGTCCATACAGTTTTCTGGTAACCTGCCTGGAAAAGTTCCCAGAATATGTATTTGTTTATATATTTATTTTATGTATTTACTTATAATCTGTGATGTACTTGCATTCATCTAAGGACATTCATCTAACTCCAGCTTTCTGAAGGGGACTTCTGCATAATGCTTTGAGAACATGGAGGTCTATTCTTCTCATATACTGTCCGTGGATCCTGGCAAGACTGTCATGAACTTAAGTATTTGAATCATCCTGTGACGTCAGTGGTCCATCTATGTAAATAAGGATGAGTGCGAGCATTTGCAGGAACAGGGCTAAGGAGCCCCTCAGAGATGGTGTCTTTACATTAAATGTTTGTAATGCTTATAAAATAAATCAGAACTGTCTGCCTTCTTTCCTCTCTCTGCAGGCCTCGACCTACCAGGGAGATTTCTCTTTGCAATCTTGACTCTGATGGTGTTAATTGCCAATCTGGTGTTTATAGAGGAAGTGGTCTATATCTACAGGAAAATCCCCTCCTCCAAAAGGTCAATCATCATTTGGATTAATGCTGCAGCTCCAGTAAGTTGTCACGGAAAAGAGATAAAATTGCATGTTGAAAATAGGGAGTTCCCTGAAAATCCACATGAACCTGCTTTATCTTTGGCCTTCATACAGCCCTCCTCCCTTTCTCTGTAGGTGATCGCCACTACTTCGTGCATTGGCATGTGGATTCCTCGCTCAACAATATTTACAGATTTCACAGCAGCAGTGTGAGTATTCTGCTTGTTTCTAGACATTGCCCCAAACCATGAATTTCTTCCCTTTAAACATCTGCTGCTCTTGGTAAATACAGTAATTTTGTAAATTTAACAACTTAGTAATTTTTGGTTTGAGTAGAAATCTCTTGGCAGCTCTTTTCTGGGAGGTGGAGAATGCTGAAGAAGTTCCTAGTACTACAGTCCACCCATGTGGGAACCTCAGTATGAAAGATCTGTGACTCGCATGTAATTGATCCCTCAGACTGACAGTAGTTTTGAGGCAGCAACTCTTTTTCCTCTCGCTGCATGTCATGTGGAGTGAGATTCTGACATGTGACGACTTCTTTGCACTTTTACTAATCATCAGCCGTGGAGATCTGTTATTAATGGTGGCAAGTGAACCTCCAATGAGTATATCAATGTAAAAATGCTCCACAGTAGTCCTGATAAGAGCACTTTCTCTATAAGCCTGACAGCTCTGACATACACACAGTGGAGGGAGAAATGTGGTCCTTGCTTTCTGGAGATGGTGGCACAACCCTGGTAGGCAGAGCTAGGTGGGGGCAACACTGTGGCTTTGGGCACTCCACAGCTGATTTTGTGATGATTTTGGAACTCATTGCAGGACAGTATCACAGACTCTCATGAATGGCCTCACGTCATGTTACACTGCATTTACTAAGAGAGTAGAGTAAAAAAGGAGGGAAAACTCAGTAGCAGGGAACAGTTAGCATGCAGCAGTTTCTGAAGGTAGTGCAAATTGACAGAAACTTCCAAGGAGCCAGTCCTGTGGCACTTCAAGCCTATTTGAATCCCCACCTCCTCCCTTACCCAAGCTGCAGGTTTCCATCCCCTCAGTTGCATGAGCTGCTGCTCAGTCTCCAGCTGCAGGAAGGTGGTGCAGCTAAAGACCTCTTTTTTTTTTTTTGGTGAGTTTGGATTTCAGTGAGTTGGTTCCCTAGATCTTTTTGGGCCAGGGAGGAAAGGGCGGTTGCACCATCTGGAGTTGCTGGGAAGGGCTAAGAATATGCAGCTGGTAAGGGAGGGAGAGGTGGGGTTGCAGCAGTCAGTTTGGCTACAGAGGAACCACACCCTGACTGGGCCAGCACAGTCGATGATAGCTCTGACGATATATGTCTGAACCTAGCAATGATTGTGGTTGTTTGGTTTATTTATTTTATTTTATTTTTTTTTAGAGGAGGAAGAGAACTTTTTCTAAAATGTTTGGACCAGGCAGGACTAGATAACTGATGGAAAAATATGGCCATAATAACTTGGGCCAGAAAAGGCTGTGCTTTAATAATGACTCTGCCACCATCCACCACTGCAGCTTTGGGAGGATCCAGTCCTCCAAGGTGATGGAAAGCAGAAGGTTTTCCACAGCTCGTGCTAGAATTTTTGTTGATTTCAAAGCACAAGCTGTAAAAGCTCTGGACAGAAGGTGGCACTGGCCTGCACAGGTGAACAAGATACACCCAGGCAAATCCAACCTGGCATTTTCTTCTTCTCCTAGATTTTTTGCCATAGTTATCCACAAGTTCCTGATGATGATGATTAAAGAATGTGGAGGTCAAAAGCTGCTCCTCAGGCGGTTTGAAAATGATCACTTCAAGATCAGCACCGGCCCCTGCTGTTGCTGCTGCCTCTGCCTCCCGCGTGTGCGCATCACTAGGTGAGTTGCCCTTTAAGATTTCCCAGCTGGAAAATGGCTGCTGGCATTCAGCCAGCTTGGCAAGGCCAGCCTTACAGCAAAGGGCCTCCTCGCTTCCCGAAATTCAGTCTCAAGCTGTTTCTTTTAAACAGTGCCATCACTTCAGGGCTGTACACCAACACTCATTTATTTAGTTTTTATAATGCAGAATTTTGTGTAAGAGTCAAGAGCATGAGCTGTCCCAGTTTAACGCAGTGCAGTGTTCCCACCCATAGTGATGTTGAGCACTGTGGTGTCTCCCCAGCTAATCCCATCCTCTTCCAAAAAAGCATTTCTACAGTAATCAGTGGTGTGTGGGAGGAGGAACGTCTGCACTAGAAAATGTAATGAGTGAGATTTCAGTTACTTTTCATTCCAGAAGGGAACAGATGTCTCCAAACTGGGTATTTTTCAAATGCAGAATTGTCAAATTGAGGCTGTCTTGAAAGAAAATTTCTCTTCCTTTGGTGAGATGGAAATGTTTCATTCTGATTTTTACTTTAGATTAAAATAATTTCTAGAACAAAAAATGGATGTAATTCCTGGAAAGCTTTGATCTCAATGAAACTGCATTGCCTGGTGAGGCAAAAGCAAGGATTATCTTCTACTAAACTTAATGCTCCTCTGAGAAGTGGAGTGAGGATGGAGGGCTGCACCTATGGAGACAATACACTGTGCCACAAACCCTGCCTGGCTCCTCCTCTGGCTGGTGTCACCCTGTCCTTCACAGGCTGCTCCGTGGCCTGGAAAGCTCATGTGTTTCCCAGGGCTTTCCTGCTGGCACAGAGTACGAGAACATTTCTCTCATTGAAAGCAGAAGCTGGAGGACTGAATGTGCAAGACAGGGACTTTTTCTATGAGGGCCTGGACACTGTTATCAGAGGGATCTTGAGGACTTTGTGGTCTGGTTAAATGAAAGTGACAAAGAGAATACAGCGTAGTGGTTTGTGATGCATTTGCAAAAATTTGTATTTTTTATGGTAACAATTCTTCCTTAAACAGCCTCATTTGGTATTAGAATGTAAACTCTTGTTACCATCATTTTATTTTAATGGAATAACACAAACTATTTACATGGAAAGGGCACCAAGAAGAATATGTAGTAAGCCAACTGAAAAATGTACCCCCAAAAAATGGGTGTAATACAATGATGTAAAAGCAGCAACTACTGATTTGGATCTAAATGAGTCCTACTAATTTTCACGGACCTTGTTTCAGGCTCATTTCAGCAGTGCGAGCTGAAGAAATGCCACAGGACAGAGCTGTGCTATAGATCTAACGTATCACCAGTACGTTTATTTTTCCTTCCACATCTGTCACCTATAGGTTGTCATAGCTGGGAGCTTGGGAGAAGATCCTCTACTATGCTCTACTGTTGGCCAGACCCATGACAGCTTATGCAGGATGATATTAGCTGATCATACTAACTGCTTGCAGGAGCTTGGTAGTGCCTACTACTGCTGGGAGGAAGGATGGCTGTCTGTTTTGTGTTTTTTTTTTTTTTAAAAAAAAAAAGGCTTTTTGCTCTGCAGATGGCATGGGGCTCCTCTCCTGTGTCCGTAGCACTGGGAAACCCATCTGCTGTCTCTGCTTCTGACTTCTAGCCTTTTCCCACTACTGGGTACAATTTTCTTGAAATATGAGCAAGCTATACCAGAGAAAGGTCAGTCTCATATTCCTCCTGTAGGTATCTCCTGGGGATAGAAGGAGCTACTCCAAGGGAGGGATTAATTCTTTCTAAAAGTTGTGTACTATCAAGCAGTCCTTGGAAAGCTAAGAGTCACAGGAGATGGACGATGCAAAGTAACAAGATACAGTAACGAGTGAGGTGAGGTGTGGCAGAAGAGGTCTGGTGGTCCAGAAAGATAGACCTCCGCTGACAAGGGAACCAACATCAAACTGGTGTTGCAGTGACTGCACGGATTGTCCTATTATCCTTTGAAGCCCTTTGGGAATAAGGGATCTTTGAAATGGCACACACATTCAGTGACTGGTCAGCTGCAGGCCTTTCCACAGGGGTTTGTGCTCTTCATAATGCTCTGGTTATTGGCTGTATTCATGGAGCAATTCCTGCAATTCCTGGTTCATGGCTATATCGCATAGCATACTAACTGGCAGCTTCTTGTCTGCTGAGGCATCTCTGGTGGCAGTCTCAAGGGCTCAAGGAGCTGCAGTGAAGACAAGATTGACAGTATGGTAAATAATACACAGTCATACAGTACAGTGTGGGCCAGCTGTAGCAGCCACAGCTTGTCCTTCTGAAGGCTGAAGCAGAATTCAGGTCAGTCAGTGTTTATACCCGGTTAGAAAGTGCATCTGCCCCTTTCCTGGTGGCCCTTAGTGCTGGCCAACCAGGTCACTGGCTATGGGCTGTGGTCTGGAGCCAGTTCATACTGACAGAATTAAGGAAATCCCCAACTGTGCTGTTCCTTGTGCAGTTTGCCAAGAGAAAGATAGTTCCTTTCTTCTTTTAGTGTACAGAGGAGTGAAAACAGATGCTTACATGGGAGTGTTCATGGTGCCCTGAAGAAGTAGCAGTGGTACTAGGCACGTTTTCACCTAGGGCTGTATAATTCCCTTTCTTCATCTACCACAGGACTAGGAAATGCCTGGACGGGAGGGATGAATTACCCACTTTCATCAGAGAACTGGAACAATAAAGCAACAAGGCAAGAGTGAGCAGCATTAGTGGCCAGAAACCAGTTATGCTGCTACTGGTTCTCTGGTAGCTTCGGGGCAGAGAAAGACATCAGGGTTTGCCCGGCCTTGGTTAGTATGTAACTGCTGCAGAACAGGAAGGGTGCTATTTTGTGGAGACTTTACTAAATAAACACTCGGTAATTCTTGGAAATATTTTCTAATCTTGCAGCTGTTCCTCCCCAGATTTTAGCCATGTGCTACAGGAGTGGAAAACGTTTTGCAGTTAACAGTATCAAAAAAATGTTATTAAGGTTGCTAATAAGGTCTTTGCCTATGTGGGTTGTTTTGTGTTTTGTTTTGTTTTTTTTTGGCCAGGCGAACTCTCTTTTGGCTGAAGCTGGGCACCTTACAGTTTGCTTTCTTTCGACCCGTGCTCATGTTTTTATCAATAGTGCTTTGGACTAATGGCAATTACACCCTTTCCAATGTAAGTAAACATTTTAATCAGAGATGGTCAATGAAATCCTTAGGTTTTAGGGTTGATGTTAGTATCTTAGCCTCCAACTAAACTGTAAAATCTGGGAGCACTTCCAAGTGACTCCTTACTGTATTCTTTTGAGACCCTGAAGCATATAATTCCTGCCTTCCCCCAGACTTTCCTTTCCCTAGCTTCTCTTGGAAAGAAACTGGGCATCAGGGTGGGTTGGGCATCAGAATATGCTTCAATGTTTCCCAGGTTGTAAGGTTAGAATAGCAGGACTGCAAGTACCCCGTGGGGTGTGCCTGCCCTGTGTTCCACAAGGTACAGCCTTAAGAAACAAGTATATGTACTGGCATCTAAACAGGAAGTCTGACTCTTATGTTTTACTGCAAATTGTGGTGGGTTTTCTGTCTGTGCAAAGTAGAAGAGATAGTACTGTACTTCTGCTTTGTACACTGCAAGCTGCAGGATGATGGAGTAGTCTGTATCTGTTAATTTTGCACCTCTTGGAGAAGTCAGATTAAAGGTTTTATTTTGTTGTTTTGTATAAAATAAATTACTCGACTCAACTGTCATGCTGAATATGCTCTTATGAGCTGCTGAGCATTCCCAGGTGCTGTTTGGGTTAGATTGAGGGGTTGTGTCACATGTTACCTTCCCAGGCTGCACAGACTTACATGTCTGTACCTGCTGGGCGACAGCACTGTGCTCGGAGACCACCTGGTACTGTGCAGTTTCCCCATGCAAACCTCAGCAACTGCTGCCGCCATCAGCTTTCATGGAGATAGCAGCAAACATTTTAATGTCTGCATCATCCAGTTCACAACTTCTCCCTGGAAATAGTAAAATACACTATAAAGTTTTATAGGTATGCTTCTTTGATTTGCTTCTCAGTTATATCCCAAAGGAGCTGCAATATGGATTAACTGCTTCGTTGGTGTCCTCACCATTCTTGCTCTGTGGCCAGTTGCAATCATGTTTTTACAAGTTAAAACTGTCCTTACCTGTAAGAAGATCATCCCAAAGTTTGCTCTTTATCAGGTGAGACGTTTAATAATTCCAACAAGAATTTCTCTTAACTGCTTAACACTCTTTTCAACAAAGGACCAAGAAACACAGAGAAATACAGAATTTTTTTCCCCACATCAAATACCCTGTGCAAAGGCATATTTTTACCCGATTAAAGCTGCATCCTTTTGAAGCAGTCTCCTTGGCTGCTCTTCAGTCTCAGCTTGAGCCAATTTACCTCTAGTCTCTCAGGAGTGCTGGAGATGTGGAAGCCACGTAAAACCCATTTATTGTTAGACAGCTGAAATCAAAAAAGCACCTTCTGTGGGGCTTGAAGGAAGCTTTGTAGATGCAATATTCTGAAATATAATGTTAAAATACAGGTGTGTGCTTCTAAAACTAGGAGAGGATGTGTAGCAATGTGTGGGTGGCTGTTGTTTGAACTGTTTCAGCATGCCACTGTGTTCTGTTTTGACAATAATTTTCTTGGCCATTCTGCACTTCAGAGTTAGATAATAACGAAAATACTGGCTGGGAATCATTAAATAGTAAGGAACAGAACCAGATAGGTTAGACTGAAAAAGCCCAGGGACAAGGCTTTTCCACATCACCCTGAGTAGAGCACGATGGAATCCTTGGATATGCATCCTCCTTGAACAGGCTGGTGCATGAAGGTAAGTAAATTACTCTGCTAAGTAAATTGTTAAGCACTTATAAATGCAATAGGCAGGAAAGTCACACCTACAGATCTGCATTAGGGGGAATCCAGGTTTAGGATGGGAAAATCTGTCAGCACAAGGGTTATACACTCAGGCAGTTACACCAGCAGCTGGAGAGACACTTTGGTATCTGCAAGGCAGTGAAGGCCTAGCTCAGGGGAAGGCAGGTAATACCGTGCCTAAGTGATTGCTGCTCAACCCGAGCTGCAAAGCGTCCTTCAGCCCTGCTGGCAAAGCAGCCAGCCTCATGTAACCTGAGGAGCACAACATCTCCCTGCTGTGGCAAAAAGAGGTGACAACAGAAAAAACGTTCTTGGAGTCCTTCTTCCACTAAGGGAGAACATAAGCTCACAGGTCAGATTAACGGGAAGTTTTAAAAATATTGTTACCTATTATTTGGAGCTCAGGATTGTTTAAAATTCCAGCTGGCACATCTGTGTATACCACACCTTCCAAACGAAGGGCTGAGAAGAAATGCTTTTCAGAGGCTTAATTTAATACTCCCATTCTGAGCAATATCATTCTGACCTAAAGATGAATTCTGCAGAATGGCAGACAGCCTGCTGGTAGGTGGGAGGAGAGGGAGAGCAAGAAAGGAGGAATAAGGTAAAGGAGGGTCTCTTATGAAAGTAGAATTGTGTGAACTATAAACTGCTTTCTGGTAGCTAAGGCATCTGCTTTGTCTTTCTGGTGCAGTTTATTCTCATACTGAACAACCTGCAGACAGCTATTATCAACATCTTGGCCACACGAAGAATCATTCCCTGTGCCCCACCACTCTCCTCCTCAGCAAGAGGAGCATGTAAGTTCTCTTGGGAAGGATGTTCTTAATTTGCTTATAGAGATGCCAGTTCAGTGTTGCTAACTGATGTCTGGTGTTTTCCCCAAATACTAATTTCCTGGGACCATGTAGCTTTTGGAGAAACTTGTTTTTTATTTAGAAAACAATAACAAAATGTTTATAGCTGTCATAGTTACAGATGAGAGGAAAATAAATCAGCAAGCATAATGGCCATTAAATCTCTTGCATTTTGGATGCATAACTTATTGCATGTTTATTGGTGGGCATGCAGACTGTAGTTCTGAAGTGATTTTATTGCTGAGTGTGAGAGATACTCTGTAATCAGGACAGGATGGTAAAGTTTGTTCCTTTTGCACAGATGAGAATTAATAAGCCAGTGTTGAGGTTTGAGGTCAAGGCCACCCCCAGAACCATAACAGATGCTCTCTGTTAACTGCCACCTGCCCCGAAAGGGTGTAAGGGAGAGGGACTTATCAATTAGGAAAGAAAAGGAAAACAGCTTTAATACTATCACTAATAATAATAATAGTAATAATAATAAAATAGAATATGCACAAATGTATACAAAATCAGTACCGAACCCCATTCCCTCCTGATGGCAACATGTCACCACTACCTCTGGCTGGGGAGCAGCCCCTGGGGAAGGGGGTCCCAGGCTGGACTCAGCCATTGGGCATAGGAGCTGAATTCTGGAACTCAGTTCAGGAACACAGGACTCAGGATCAACGGCAGGATGGAGGAAGTCCTCCTCAGGTGCCGGCCACTCCCGGAGCAGCTGAAGATGAGCAAGAAGGCGGAAGGGCGATGGCAGGGCTTGCCCCTCCTGATCTTTCAGATTTACTGGATATGATGGCTGTGGGATGGGATATCCCACTGGGAAATCTTAGGGTCCGTTATCCTGCCTGCTCCCCCCCACAGGTGCAGCTTTATTTTCTGCTCCCCTCTGTGTGGTACACAAGCTTAGCAGTGGCCTTGGTCTGCACACCGATCCCTGGTAGTAAACATGGAGTGTTATCATTGCTTAAAGCAGGCAGTCTGCAAAAATATGCTGCTAACTTCAGACAAAGCAGTTAATTAGAAGTAGATTTAGCTGAAAAGTTAAATCATTGAACAGGACCAGCTCTGTTCTACCCCAAACCAGGACAGCCAGGTAGTCCTCTTGTGTCTGATAGTAATTTCCTTCTTTTGGGGGCTTTTCTTTGCCTCTTTTTTTTTTTCTTTTCTTTTTTTTTTTTTTTTTCCTTTTGGCAGATGTGACCCATCAGCTCCTCATCATGGAAATGTTTCTAATAACCCTAATCTCAAGGGTGGTCTATCGGAGAAGATACCATGACCTAGAGCCTCCAGAATGTATGGCTGAAGAAGCTGGGGCCAACAAGCAGACTCCTAAGACTATGCTGAATGGCACAGTTAGTGAAGATGGATTGCCAAAGTTTTAGAATCCCTTTGTGGTCCTGTTCTGCAGGAGCTTGAAGCTCAGCCTCAGGAGTGTGTATATTCTTGCACCACACGTAGCCACTGTCCGTGTCAGAACAAGTTCTGACATAAATGCCTGTGAGCTGTAGTACTGAAAGGACCACTAGAGGAAAGATAACCCCATTTATTCTCCAGTGACATATACATGGTGTGATTGTTTTCATACCATGTAATTTAGTAAGGTTTCATGCCATGTGCTTTTAAGCTGTTACTGAGCACTTGATAGCCAAACTATCTCACAGTGTGATTTTATTTTTATTTTTTAGCTATTAGAATGGCTACAATTTAGAGTTAAACCAAAGTCATTCTTGCTCATCTCTTCTGACTTTTAAAAACCTTATTTCAGCCTGAATTATTGTCATATGTGGAACACAGCATTTGCTCATCCTTCATCCATTAAAATGTATCAGCTCTCACTCTGTGCCATGAGCTCACCATAGCTAATTCTGATCAGTAAATGCGCTTGCATATGTTTGTGATGAAATCTCCAAACCTGTCTGGGCTCTGCACCTACAGAAATGATGATGTCCTTAGGGCAAGACTTTTTACATTCCTTGGCAATTCACTTCCTAATGTGGTAAATACACAGTTGCTGTTTGTGACTGGCAAGATGTTCTTCCTAGGGATGTCAGATTCTCTGTCACTAGTCTGGAAAAAGAAAGTTAGAGCCTGAGATGTCTTCTGACACTGGTCTATGATGTTGTGTGGTGCTTTGGTTCTCAGCTTGGAAAATGGGAATAATGATACTCAGGAACCTTGCACTAATGGTGGCTGTGGGGGCTAAGAGCAATCAACAGGAATGTCAGGGATGTTGGTCAGCAGTGGCTGAACATGAGCTAGAAGTGTGTCCAGGTGGCCAAGAAGGCCAACAGCATCTTGGCTTTTGTCAGAAGTATTGTGGCCAGCAGGACTGCTTAGTTTGGATATTAGGAAAGAAATTCTTCACTGAAAGCATTGTCAGGCACTGGAACAGGCTCCCCCAAAAAGTGATGGAGTCACCATCCCTGGAGGTATTTAAAAGACATGTAGAAGAGGACTTACAGATCTTGGTTTAGCGGTGGACTTGGCAGTTAGGTTAATGGTTGGACTCAATGATCTTAAAGGTCTTTTCCAACCTAAATGATTCTGTGATTCTATGATTCTATGGACTCTCTTTCAAGAAATTCTTAGCTCCTCAGCTTCTTCACCACAAATCTGACCTGTCCAGGCATCCAGTTGGACTTCAAGTATTACAGGATCTTTTCAATTCACACCCATTGCTCTGTTTTGTAGAAATCTGTTTTTTTACTTTTTTGTAAATGATCATGATGTTCTCAGATGGACCTAATGGCTTTGGTTTAGCTTCCTATAATTTATAAAATGATACTGTGTGTAGTAAGCATTTGGATATTCTGTTTGTTGGGACAGGAGGTGCAGTACCATATCCTAGCACTTGTCTGCCCTTATCTAGTCTGATACCTAGAAGTAAATACACGGTCCACGCAGCAAGAATGCTTATTCAACATGTAGGTTGGAAAAATGTTTCATGTTAATCATGTCTTTTACCTATATTGCATCAAATATAACTTCATCAGAGCAAAGCTAGGCAGATAAGTGTCATAGAATAGTTTGGTTGGAAGGGACCTTTAAAGGTCATCAAGTCCAACTCTCTCTGCAGTGCGCAGGGACATCTTCAACTAGATTGGGTTACTCAGAGCCACGTTCAACATGACCTTGAAAGTTTCCAGGGATGCGGCAACCTCTCCCAGTGTTTCACCTCCCTCACTGTAAAAAACTTCTTCCGTACATCTAGCCTAAATCTACCCTTGTTTACTTTAAAACCATTACCTCTTGTCCTGTCACAACAGGCCCTGCTATCAAGATGGTGCCCATTTTTCTTGTAGGCCTCCTCCAAGTGTTCAAAGACTGCAGTAAGGTCTCCCTGGAGCCTTCTCTTCTCCAGGCTGAACAACCCCAACTCTCTCAGCCTTTCTTCATAGGAGAGGTGCCCCAGCCCTCTAATCATTTTTGTGGCACTCCTCTGAACCTGCTTCAGTAGATAGCAGGGCTTTATTTTTAATTTACATTGAATTTTTAGAAAATGCTTTCTGTTTGGGAATTGGTGGAAAACGAAGTATTCTGAAAACACTGAACTGTCTGGAAGTAGAAAACAGTTGTGAATTAAATGAAATGTTTTCTTCTTCCTGAAGATTGAGATGAGAAATATTTTCTTTAACATTTGAAAGATTCCATTATAGTAGAAAAGTTGAACTATTTTTGTTTTGAAATTGCTGAAACAGTTTTTGTATTTAATCTTTTCTAAGCAGTCTGTTAATACAGATTCTTGAACTGCATTAATGTGACAGAATCTGCACTTTTCTCTGGAAAAATAATTCAGGTGAAAATTTTCACTCTCCATTAGTGTGTCAGTAGAATTAACTAGGATCAGCTAACATTTCTAGCATGAGAAGTCTTCTTAATGTATTCTAGAATTATGGCTATTAGCATATTTCTAATGTTGCTTTACAACAGTGTAGTCTAGGCCACAGGTACGTAAGTAGACTTGCAGAGAAGTACTTAATTTAATAATGGCATTGGGGATGGCTGGCTGTGAGTTCCAGCAGCTTCAACACTGGAAAATAAAATATTCTGAGTTGGTAAGGAATCTTTGTGAATTGCTGAGGAAGATAATTTTAATTACTAGAACAAATGAGATGAATGAGCATTACTGGCAGACACTTTCTGCAGTTCTGCGAGGGGCATGCCTTGGGGGGGATCTGTGCCATGGAAGAGCAGATCCACATGCCACAGCATGGCCAGTGCATTCCGAAATAGATGGAGGGTATGGAGAAGTCGTCTCTAGGTTCAGCAAAGGCAGCTGCTGGAGCACAGCAAGAGTCTTTGCTCCTCACTGTTGGTCTGGTATCTGTTGCATCTCTGAAGTGCCTGTTAAACACATCTTCTAAACCTTGGCATGATCCAGCCACAGGTCTCACTCGGTGCTGTGCTTGTGGATAGACATTTAATATTTTTTATGATCTTCATCTGACATAACTGAGCAATAAAAAGTACTGTGGTGATTGTCAAATGGACTTCAGATATGGCAGTGAAGATGTTTCTTTTTACTATGTACAGTCATGGAGGTCTCCAAAAATCACTTGCTTACACAGAACCCTTTTCAGAGCAAACCAGGACATACTTTATCTTAAATATATGCTGAAGAGCTTTCCTGAGTCACAGCTTATGTGAATGCCGCAGAATGCATGGGTCTGAATTGCCTTATTGTTACAATTTTTTCTTTTCTTTAGCTTTTTAAATTCAGAATTTCTTCCTCACCTCTGCCTCAGACCAATAGCTGTAGCCTGCCTAATCGAGGTGCCGTGCCTGGGAGCTGGCGGCCAGGGATGGCAGGTGGCCTGCATGGCAGGCATGCCTTTGGGTGCTTTTGAAATTAAAACACTGCAAATTGCAGCCTCCGGGTTGGACCTCAGCCAGGCTGAGTATGAAAAAAAAAACCAAACCAGAAAGATGGAATTTCCTCCAATCTCAGTTCTGATAAGGATCTCTTTCAGGTCAGTGAAAAAAATTGCTTTTAATTCTGTGTTTGTGATGAAAGCATTTGAAAACATTTCATGCAAGCTTTAAGATAAATTTTACAACTCATACAGCTGCTGTAAAGCAATGAGTGTTCAGGTGAGCACATGACCTTTATGCTATGTTTGCTTGGAATTATTGTGAGAGGAAGGGTAAAGGTAATTTTATCGGTGTCTTTTGTGACAATAAAAGGTATCAACATTATTAAATAGAAAGATAAGCATACACAGAGGTGTGTGATCAAAGGTTAAGAGAGTTCAGGCATTTGGAAGCAATTAATGAGAACACAGGGGAGAAGATGAGTTACGTGTTTTGGGTGGCCATGTGCTAAAGCTGTAGGTGTGAAGGTGAGCGCTGCCCATGCGGCCTCCTGGAGCATCACACAGGGGTCTGCAGCGTGAGCAAGGTGCAGGCTCCTGTGGCAGACCCCTTGCAGTGGCATGCTGTGAGTCCCTAGGTAGGGCCAGCTACCATGGGGCAGTGGAGAGTTTATGGAAGCACACGCCTTTGTGTTTCATGCATCTCAGCAGCAAAGGCCTGACAATACCCAAAGGATTTGTTTCAGGTGTTAAGAGGATACTCTGCTGCTTATAAACCTTCCCATCCCTACATCCCCTCTTCAATTATCCTGTCCATTCCTGCATCCTCACTTTTGCCCCTGCTTTCTTCTCCCTGCTCAAGAGAAAAAAAAAAAAAAATAAATTGAGTGCTCCTGAGGGAGGAAGTGCAAGGGTGGAGGCTCATGCTGGCAGAACCAGGGCAGCCAGATGACAGAGCCTACCTTCTAAGCAGCATCTGTTTGCAAAGAAAGGTCAAGAGGAAAAAGGAAAAAAAAAACCAACCAACCAACCAAAAAAACCCCGACAACAGTACAAGTACTGAATTGTGATCCTATGCTTGTAGGGAGAGAAATTAGGTAACACAATAAGGATACAAAGAACAGTAACTTGAACAAGTTGGGGAATAGGTATATTTAGTGTAAGCAGTAGAGAAGCTCAGAAGAAGACTCATGGATAGCCAAAAGAGGAAGATGGCAGGTATTTGCTACACAGCTGATGAAAATGCTGGAATAGCCTGTTGCAGTGACTTCATCTATTCAACACATTGCCACTTGGCTTTCTTACCCTGTCAGACAAAGTCTGACTGCTGCTGACACTGTGAATGCTAATGCTTTTACTGAGACATTCACCTGTTCCCTCAGGACAGTCCACGAATCTGCTTGTGCCTCCCTCGTAAAAGGCATCACTATTTTTTAAGACACAGTTTGTGGGGGAAGAGGGATAGATAACACAGTGACTGTTTTATTGCTTTAGAACCCTTTAAAAATGTCAACTAGGTAATTTTAACAGCTGCTTGAACTTGGTGAGTGTGATCATCTTTGTTCTAGCAG